TGCTTGGTTTGAGCAAAAGAATTAATAGCATCAATTAAGAGGCAAGAGATTGGGATAGTTAATGGTGTCCTAGCTTATTTAGGAGCTTATTGCATCACAAGTGTAAGGCTAAATTACCAAATTCGAAGTTCCTACATGACAAAATCAGAATTCACAATATTTGTCTATGAAAGCTAAACTACAAGGATGGAAAGAGCAAAAACATCGCATCCACTGTCAACTGAATTCCGTCAAAACACTAATTACTTTGGCATACATTCTTTTAACGGGAAAAAGTTTCTAGCAGACATTAACAGTGGGTTTATCAACGAAATAGCTCCCCCTCAAATAATATGTAGTCAAACCAGAGTATATGTTTTGTTAACTCGTATAGAGCCCAAACTTCTTTCAGCTAAATTAAATATTAGCTGAATAAATGGCATAACGGCCATCGACAATACACTATTAACTATTTCAAAATTATATAAATAAAGATGGAACACAACACATTTGCTAGTTTCCTAAGATATAAAGAGATACGAGGGCACAAAAAGCATACCAATCTTATTAAACAGAAAATCTCCAATTATATTCTACCTGAAATCACCTGAAATCCCCTGAATTCATTAATCATAAGAACACAAACTTGACCCGGGATTCTTTCAGCACAAATATTAACTAACCATTACTTCTATCAAATCATGTACCACAAAATCTTTTTGTGACATCGATTACAAAATCTTCCGTTTGCACCCACTGACAGAGGAACGATATTTTGATACTATATATCCAGCATTAAAGCCGTCCCAATTATTCATGCATGATGATTCGACAAATTACATTAGAAAGGTTAGCCATTATCAAGCTGAAAAAATATGCATAACGGTAAAACCAATTGTTTGCAACGGCAAACACTGCCACATGCTGGTAAAACAATGCTTATACCCTAACAATCGCTCAAAATTGATAGTAACCCCAATAAAGGAAGAAGAAAAATCAAATGCTCACAAAATGTGTCGTTCTCAAATAGGCACGTAGCGTTTCAATGCCTGCTTCGCGGTGACAGCAACTCCAACCACGACGCCGCCAACAGCCCCCGCCACGGCCGCCGACCGCACCCCTCTCGCGGCACGATACAATGCGCCAGTGCCGAGTCCGGCCGCAACGCTGTTCCAGACATCGTCGGTGTCCCTCGCCGCCTCGATCCCGCTCTCGATGCCGGCGTATAGCAGGCCAATGACGCCTAGGCGGTTGCCCCAGGCTCGGCCGGCATGACCGGAGGAGTTGAGGACGCGGTTGATGCGAAGCTTGGCGGTGTCACCGGACTCGAAGGACTTTACGCCTTCGACGAGGCCGGCGGTGGCACCGCCGACGGCGCCGGCAAGGTAGCCACATCCTGTGTAGAAGGTGAGGTTCTCGCCCCATGATCGACGCTTGCGGCGAGCCTCCTCGACGAAGAGATACTCGGGGGAAGTCGGGAGCTGGTAGAGGTTGCGAATGGGGACTTCAAGGTCCTTGTAGGGGTTATAGAGACGCGTTGGTGTCTTCGGATCCGATTCAGAATCTCGATCAGGGGTCTGGTACGCCATTGGATAGGCTTCCAGACGGTCGAGGTTAGGGTTAGGGTTTCAGAGAGAAAGGAACAAATCAGAGAGTCGCAGATGAACTAACGACGCTGTTTAGACAGTTATGATTTTGAGTATGGCGGCGCGTTAGACACCCGGTCCGGTCTGGTTTGACTTTTATTTCCGGCTCGAACCGGAAATGCGAAACTTCTTGCGAAATTAAAAATAAAATAAGAACAAAAATATGAATACACCGTTTAAATTACAAATTTATATAAAATTTTCTACCTCGATAATACTTAGAACCATTATAAAAAAAAATAAACTTTTAATTACTTTTTTTTACAGCTAACCTAGAAAATGTTCTGAAATTTTTCAAAAGATATAAAGACATAAATATACGCATATAATTATATAGGGTTTTATATTGTAAATTTACACGTCTATTAGCTACATTTCTAAGAAATTCATATTATATTTGCTTCTCTATAGTTTTAAAAACAGTTTCTAAATTTTGATTTGTAATAGTGATAGATTAAAAGATAGCGTGATGACGGTTTTATAAAAAGACAACTTAGAAAATACTTTCTAAATTATTTCTATGTGTAATGAGTTATACTTTAAATTATTAATAGATCAAATATAAACAATATCTAAAAATTACATGTTTTTAGATTAATTCGATTAATATCTAAAATGTATCTGTGATATTAGTTATAATAAAAATATTTATCTTAATATTATAGAATATTATCGTGTGACATACTATACCAATATTGTTATATGTTCAAAAAGTTTTTCTCGTTAATATGCTGATTTTTCTAGTCAAACATATTTTAAATATTTTTCTGTACTAATTTACCATTATTAATGCATTCATTAGTTAATATATTAATAATTCGTATAACTTATTTATCAACTTTTAACCAAATTATATCCACTAATTTCTTTCAGCTCAAAATATATGAAATTAAAACTTTTAAGTACTTTTTTATTTGAAAAATAGTTCCTCAAGGAATGGTGTGTAATAAAATATCATCATTTTAAAATATTAAAATATTATCTTTTAACTAATTTCTGAGATCGGTCATTTTTTATCTTTTTAAAAAGGTTTTATAGGATTATTTTCTATATTTTTATTTAATATTTATATAATTATAACTTTTTTAATATTTAACATTAATATATATATATATAGGTCATTTTCAATTTTACAAAACTAACTTAAATATTATACATTTATCTTATTTTTAAATGAATATTTTATTTTCAACACTATATAATGTTGGTTGTAGTTACTTACACAATACGTTACTTAAAAACTATTATGTTTTAAGTGAAAAATTAATTATATATTTTTTAATTTTATTGTAAAGTAAATATAAGACTATAAATCAATTTATTGCTTAACAATTCAAATTAGAATGACTTAAGGTAAGCATATTCCAATATAAATTAGTTTATAAAATAGTCTTTTATTTGCCAAATATGCAAACAAATACAAATAGTATATGTACATATACATATACATTCTTTTTCAAACGTGCTTTCTAAATGATTATAAGAGGCCTGGTTTCCACAAACAGAGTATAGCATTAGCATCCCATATATTGATCACAAACTTAGAGAGTTTATACATTGTTATTATGTTGTTATTTTTCAGTTTCCATTCATTTGCTTCCTGAATATACATTATACAAAATCATAGATAAATTTACACGAAATGGAAAGCTTTACACCATGATTTTATCTTTGGGAAATGTAATCACTACTCCTAAATTTGTAAGCCGACTCAACTCTGGCAAAATGACAGAAGCAAGATCTGGTCTATCTCGTTTTCTCATCTCACAACACTTCAAAGCCAACTTAGCAAATGACAAAGTGTCCTCAACAGGCCAATCCATGACATTAGGATCAAGAACCTCAGAAAATGTACCTTTTTCTATAGCCTCTTGAACAAAGTGAGCCACACCCATAGGAGGCTTTCCAGTTATAATTTGCAACAGCACTACACCCAGTGAGTAAATGTCTGATTTAACCCCCAATAGTCCTGTTTGCTGATATTCTGGATCAATGTAGCAAAATGTACCAGCTGCAGTTGTCTTATGGTATTGAGTGGTTTTGTCCGGTATAGCAGGTGGAACTAGCCTTGCCAAACCCACATCAGTGATCTTGCTACCATAGTTACAGTCCAACAAAATGTTTGCCGGTTTCAGGTCTCGGTGCACAATAGGCTCAGGCTTTGTCTGATGAAGGAAAAGAAGGCCTGTGGCAATTTCTGATGCTATTTTGAATCTAACTTTCCATGGAATTACTGGTGTGTTATCTTTCTGGAATAGACGATCTTCTAAACTTCCATTTTCCATGTACTCATACACAAGGCATCCATACTCCGGACATGCACCCAAAAGCTTAACCATGTTTGAATGTCTTATTGTGCTCAAAACACTAACCTGTCTCATGTACCAGAACAAACGATTACTTATAATGACCCATGTTGTCAAGTAAAGAGGACTCAAGATGTTACTTAGTTTTTCTTGGAAAAAAATATAAAAATTTATGATCTGATCATTTTTATCCTTGTATTNCTGCAGTTGTCTTATGGTATTGAGTGGTTTTGTCCGGTATAGCAGGTGGAACTAGCCTTGCCAAACCCACATCAGTGATCTTGCTACCATAGTTACAGTCCAACAAAATGTTTGCCGGTTTCAGGTCTCGGTGCACAATAGGCTCAGGCTTTGTCTGATGAAGGAAAAGAAGGCCTGTGGCAATTTCTGATGCTATTTTGAATCTAACTTTCCATGGAATTACTGGTGTGTTATCTTTCTGGAATAGACGATCTTCTAAACTTCCATTTTCCATGTACTCATACACAAGGCATCCATACTCCGGACATGCACCCAAAAGCTTAACCATGTTTGAATGTCTTATTGTGCTCAAAACACTAACCTGTCTCATGTACCAGAACAAACGATTACTTATAATGACCCATGTTGTCAAGTAAAGAGGACTCAAGATGTTACTTAGTTTTTCTTGGAAAAAAATATAAAAATTTATGATCTGATCATTTTTATCCTTGTATCATTTTTATCCTTGTATGTCAAATGAACGTAAAATTGTATTATATTTATCCTTGTATGTCAAATGAACGTAAAATTGTATTATATGTCAAATGAATGTAAAAACATCCTGTTATTTAAAGCGAAAACATGACAACCTCTTGTTGAAACTGCTTCTCCCCATGGGTTATGTCAGGTCTGAGAGCCTTGACAGCAACAACAATGTTATCAAGCACCCCTTTGAAAACAGGTCCATATGAACCTTCACCGATTTTCAGGGCATTGTTAAAGTAATTAGTTGCTACTTCGATTTCTCTAATGTTGTATCTTTTAAATAGAACTTTGTTTGGTGCAATTTCATTTGATGGTTTATTCCTCTCTTCTTCTTCATGCATGTCTCCCTCTTCTTGCCTTATATTTTCATGCTTCGTTGTCTGAATGAGAAACATTAATCATTAAAACTGTTTTGAGGATTATAATTAATAAAAATTATATGATGCAAAATATCACCTACCGGAGGCTTTTTGGAAGATTTGCTCCTACAATTCGAATTAATGACTACATTTTGTTTTCCATGTGATGTCTCACTCGTTTGATGATCAAACAACCTTGAAGTGTCTTCTTTAAGGAAACTTTGATTGGATGAAGTTTGTAAAGAACTGGTTTCATCAGATAGTTTTGTAGAATCAGTCTCTCCATTGTTCTTGTGTGGTGTCATTGGTGATACCCCATCATTGTTTGAGCTTTGCCAAAATTTAATTTGGAGCGATCTTCTGTTTATACAATATAAAACATGTAACAACATTTAGCAAGCACAGAAACTTGTTCAAATAAGCACAGAAACATGTATAAACTTGCATCTATGTCTAGAATTTATATAAAATTAGTAAACTTGTATAAATTGATTTCACCTTCTAATATCATTTAGGATGTTCAAATCATTTTCTTCTTTAACCATCAAATTATAAACATTTTTGTGTTCAAACCTGTTTAAATCTTTGGACCGAAAACTTTCCCTGATGGCTTTTAGAGATTTTGATGGTGCGATACTAATATTCTGATGAGAATGACCTGCTGGTCGAATACTCTGCACTTTTCTTTTTGATATGATATGCACCATGCAAGATTGTGGCACAGATCTTAACAAGCCTGTTGGCACATCTACATCTTTAAATTTCCTGTACAATATAATTAGCAAGATTATTTGTTTGAAGAGATAAACCAGAAAATTCACAAAAAAAATAAAATATGCAGTTCTTTATGATTTCTGCAGAAACTTCTGTATGTGAGAGAGAAAGAGAATAATGACCTTAGAAGAGCGTTGGAGCGAGAAGCACCAACGACAACATTGTTGATAGAATTCAGAATTATGTAATTAGTAAGCGCATTTACTACGTCAGTGTCTTGCAGAACTATCTCTTTAACTGCGACCTGAAATTTTCAGTGTTCATAATAAAAAACTGATATAAGACATCTGCATTCATATTAAAACTAAAGATTTTCAAAGCTTCAAACTTGGTAATGAATTCAGCACCCTTTTTCGAGCACAAAATCCTCGAAAGGCAAGAAAAATCTGTTGCAATTCTTCTTCTGTTGGCGTACGACCTTGCTTAGGGAAAACTTCCAAATCATCTACGCAACCCAAAGAAAAAAAAATTAAAAATTCTATGCATGATAAATTACAAAAAATGATTCTATTTCTTGCAAGAATTTAAATGGTGTTCATCAAAAATACAATGCATTGGTGAAGCATGAGTTTGAGCAATGTACGTACTGTGATATAAGTTCTTAGTTCTGACGTGAAGGAGGGTGCAGGAAGAGTTGTTCTTGAAGAGATATTCCACAGCCCATTTGACTGCATGTTGGCTGTTCTGATCGCTATCAATGGCGATCAAGGTAGACTCTTCTTCTGCTGCATTTGAACCCATAATCATCAACAACGTTGGTTTCCCAAAAATCTATGACTGCAATAACCAATGTAGTTGTTTTGTCATTCATTCATGTCTGAGGGGTTTTGAACCTTTTTATTATATTTTTAGCATGAATGCACCTTAATCCGGTTGTATCTTGAATGTAAACCCAACTTTAGCGTATTTACAATCAGGAAAAATACAAAAGTTGTTCATAACTGAATATATTAATATTTTAATTATATTTCTTTTATGCATACATATACTTTTGGTCTTTGAATTTATTTTTAATTTTAACTTTTAAATAATTTATTTGAAATTTAAAATAATTAATTTATTGATAACATATTTATTTTAAATTTTACCATTTTTATTTAATCGTTATTTCAACTTAATATTTTTTTTACAAAATAAATAAAAGATTATAAAAATTATTAATATTCAATTTTATAATAACAATAGATTTATTATTTTTTATTATTATAAGAAAATAAACACATTATTTACTATAATAATTGTAAAGTGAATTTTGTATTATATGGTATAATTTTTCTTATAACCATGTCTCACACACGTACTCTTTTTTATCAATCTTTACATTTTTAAGTAACAACAAAAATATAAATTACAACAATCAATAAATTATACTACTTTTCATACAATTAATAAGAAAAATCAGATTCAAATAATTTTAATTAAAATAATTTATTTATATTTAAAACATTATATTTTTTAATTTAATTTTTTCATTATTAATCACGTAATTGTTATTTTACTTTACATTTTTTTTATTTGTCTTTTCACTAATTTAGTTTAAAGAAAAATTAAATGACAATTTAATTACGAAATATAAAATTTTAAATATATAATAAAAAAATAAAAGTTAAATTAAAAATATTTAAATTTACCAAGAAATTTTAAACTTAAATAATTCTTTTAATTATTATCTTTCTAACAGCTATTGATCCTTTTAACATATAGTGAACAGCCACATTTTTCTTGATTATTTTAGTTTTATATTCAAAGTCAATTTTAACTATTAATGGAAGGATTTTTTCTTATACGTTGCTTTCCTTTTTCTTGGAAAAGAAGCATGTAAAAAAAAGTATGAAACTTAACAGTTTAATTTTCACTCCTCTTATCATAAAAATTCATCAACTATATATATTATTACATGTTGTATATTAGAATTAATGAGAGAAATGTATTTTGCCATAAACTATTTTTTCCTTAAAAACATATAGAAAAAAATAATTTGACTTTTAAATAATAAATTATCTAATCATAATAATTCATAATTTACCATTAATTAAGTGCGAAAATTAATAGACACTATATGCATTTGTTTCAATTTTTTTACTCAAATTCTAATCCTATAAATAGTTTATCCACCGACTATATTTTTTAAATTATGCATTGTAGATCTTTTAAATATAAAGGAAAATTCGAAGAATGTTCTTACATAGGATCATAAACTAAAAGATAAAGTCAAATAATATGTCTAGAAAACATGTTTTGCACAAAACGTAACAAAGGCGAAATAATTAAACATGCTTCATTAAGGTTCCTTTTAACGTAATTAATAAAACAACAAAAACAAAGCTATCCATTACACAACACGCTTTCCTTCAACATTATACAATGGAATCAAATAATGCCTTTTTTTAACAAAGAAATATAAGTAATCTAGTTTTAATATTTATTGATTTTATTTACTGAATTTTGTATCTAAATCACACCAGTTTTTATTTAATTATAAAAATTAATAATAACATATTTTATTAATCCTCTTCATCTTTTTCGTTACTTATCATATACATTATTATCTTCATCTTGGTGTATGCTAGAACATACGTAATGTTTTTTGCAAGTAAACTATCAAATTAATCTTAAAAATGAATATTATAAAATATTTAACTCCGAAAATTAGGAGTTAAATTGATTATCTTTCTAAATTGATTATCTTATAGTGTGTTGTCTTTTAAGAAAATCATAACTAATTTAACTTATTTTAATGTCTTTATGGAAGCCATGTTGTCAAGTAACACCAAGAGCTCCAATTTATTAATAGAAAAATGTAGGAAGTTGTAAAAACAAAGTTTAAAGAAAACATATATGCAGCTAATTTGCAATGGTATTATTGATACAGAAGCAACGTGATTACGTGATATGGCATTATTTGAGTTAGTCCATTTTAATAGTCTTCAAGCATAATATAAAAATATTAATATAAATTTGACCTATTCGAAATGCACATGAAAAATTATTTACAACATTTTTTATTTGGCTGTATACACTGAATTGCAAATAATTTCTCATACATAACTAAGAAATTGCATGTATATAATATTTCACTAAATTCATATAATAAAATATGTCAAAAAAATGAAATAATTAATATAATAATAATAATAATAATCACGTATTTACGTCTATATATAAGCGAACAAAGAACAGAAAAGGCATTATCAAAACAAAGGAACTCACGTTAAGTGAAAACCAAATGGAAGCGGAAGAAGAAGAAGACGCGCCACCAAACTTCTGGACGGAGAACGGTAGCCACCGCCGCCTCCGTCGATCTTACTCGCTGTTTCTCAGCTCCGGTGCAGTTCTGATATGCGTTCTGGTGATTGCACTTGCATTCACGTTGGTCATAATTCCCACCATCTTTTCCACGTTGCACGCATTCCCTTACCATCTTTTCAAACCCAATTCCGTGAAGAAGAGTTGGGACTCCCTCAACTTTGTGCTTATCATCTTCGCTATTCTCTGCGCCTTCCTCAGCAGGAACAACGCCGACGAGAGTTTCTCCGACACTCCACACAAGTACGAGAAACCAAACCCTACAACAACGCCACGGTGGTACGAGGAAACAGATCGCACGTCCTACAAATCGTATAACAGGCTCAGGAGTTTCAACTCCTACCCGGATCTCCGCCAAGAGTCGCCGTGGCTAGCCTCCGACGAACGGTGGCGATTTTATGATGATACGCACGTTAACGGTTATTGTAGATTTGACTTGGAGGAAGAGAGCGTCGTGAAAGTGGTAGATAAAGAGGTTCCGCTGCTACCGGGGTCTCCACCACCAGTTCCGGCGGAGGAGAGGAGTGGGGAAAGTAAGAATAAGGGAACAAGTGCAACAACTAAAGAGTTGTTGACTTCTTCGACGGGAAAGAAGAAGAAGAAGAA